AATATTTGGGGCCGGGAAGGCCCTCACCAAGTGGCCGTCGAGCCGAAGTGGTCCCCGTCCATGTAGTGGTGAACCTCTGCAGCACCCTTTCAGTTTCCCCTGAGCAAATACCCCCAAGGCTTCACAGGTCTTCCGAGGCCCTAAGCATCAGCCCTTTTTTCTAGCCTCCTTCCGAAGACCAGGGGGCAACCAAAAATGAGAAAGCCGCGAAACCACGTGATGAACCACGTGATGGCTGCCACTGGGAATGTAGTCGCTCAGGTGGGCCCAAGACGGGATCTCCTGCATCTTTCAGCTTCTGTGTGCAAACATGTGCCTACATGCCCAAACTGCAATTCCAAGCGGTTGGGATGCACAACATGGCCGGGCCCAGATTAGCCTCGTCCGTGCTCGGAAACAGCCAGCGGCCCTGACCACACACCTGGAAATTCCATTCTATACTCCAACACGCTGGGTCAGGCTCGGAACTGAGAGCGTCTCACGGAGACAGCTCTGTTGCCACAGAAATCTGGAGCCGACAGCCAGGGAGAGGATGCAAAGATTGTCTGCAGGCACCCCATCGACATGGAGTCTCGAGTCCAGAGATGTCCAGAAATGTCCAGAGATGTCCAGACTGAAGGGGCCCTAAGGGGAGAAGCCGACATCAGGCTTTGGGCTCGAGGCATTGGGATAAAGTTTGAGGGTCTTTTGGGTTAGGACGAAGAGTGGACTCTTGAAAGCCCAGCACAGCCACAGCCTGACACCCTGAAGCCCGAAGCTCCTCGTGGTAGTCGTACCTCACTGCAGGCATATGCATCTTGTTGAGGGGAAAGGGTCGGGATTTCTAGTGCTGAGCTGTTACTCGTGGGCCCGTGGGAATCATGGTTTAGGATCCGGTTCTTGAGGGCCTCAGGCTGCAGGATGCTGCAGGTCGCTCAACATGCCTGCGTGTTGCCGACTCTTGCAAGCACAAAGCTGCAAAGGAGACTTTTTTGGGGGTGCTGGACCTCGGACTCTCGGACTCCGAAGTTGCGAAGTTGCGTGGGCGCTTTGGCTTTGCGGTTCCGGGAATTCGGGGGGGTGCTACGGTTACGGGTTGGTACTGGGTTGGTACTGGGTTGGTGCAATACCTTGGCATCCCTGCTTGGTGAGGTATCCCACTACGAAGCGAATCGACAGGCTTCCCCTACTTGGAACAACCCTTCGTTTTCAGGATTGGTTGCGCTGGGTCTAGGAGTCTAGGGCTTTGGAACCACGAGATTCCCACCGAGTGGCTCCCGGATGTGCGAGGCAACTACTGGTTTCGCCGCATGTGCCGGCGCAATTGGCGTGATGATCGGGTGAGCGTACGTCGGCTTGCCTGCTGCAGGTTCCGGGCATGCGAGCGCTTGCTTACTTCATTGGAGCTTCTTGCGGGCCCTTCGCAGGAATTTTGGAAGTTGTTTGCGAATGAGGGCCACGAGGACTCAGGGCACTCCTGGGCCTAACCTCACCTTCAGCACCCAGCAACCCGGCCCCACCCAACACGTGCACTCCCAAGTTGAAAGTGTTCAGCCGAATGAACTCCAAGCTCTCTCCGCAATTTACACAATGCAGGATCGGGGGGAGTAAGTGGCCACAAGGTAGAAAGGGAGACCTATACGACTTCATTAGCCCCACTCAAGACGGCTTACTGAGGTTTTGGGCCTTGGGCCTGCAGGGCAAGGGCTTCTGCACCCCCCGACCTCACGTTTAGCGCAGGGGCCCTAAACCCCGATGCTCCTTTCCCCATTTGCCGTGAGAAACCTGTTCACACACAAGGCCCCCTTGAAAGCCAGAGAAGCAGCCAAGAAGCTTCCTGTTCCACCCGACCTGGGAGAGCCAGGCAAAAGTAACAACAGGGGCCTGTTTTCATTAGACCGAGATTTTGGGTCGTGCGTGGTGTAATCTTTCCAAGCCAGCGTGTCAAGTTCCAGCGCGTAGAGTAAGATGGGCTAGATCGAGTGGCATGACGCGCCCGCTGCGCACCGCACATTTTTCCCGAAGTACGTGCATTTTGGACTGCCGTCATGCTCATGCTCTCGCCAAGGCGCGGCGTGCAGGCGCTTGCCACCTCTCGAAACTGCTAGCGGCTGTCGCTTTTTGGACGTCTGGGCTCCCCACTTGCGAAGCTGTCTTTGCTTTTTGGACGTCTGGGTTCGTGACATGCGAAACTGTCGTGCTTTTAGATTTCGGGGTTCTTGGCACGAGACGTGCTTTTGATCCATTCGAATGCTCTTGCGTGTCCACATGGTCTCTCACTGTTTGGGGTCTACGCAGGCATGATACGAGAGTATAACAACTTTTGCAATTGTGTCGGCTCCCGCATTAGACGTTTGCGTGTACCTGGGTTGGGAAAGTTCGACGTTTCGGGTTGAAGGAGGCTTGGGTGTTGGGAGCCTCTCTCGGGGTCGGTTTCGGGGTGTCCACACGAGGTTGCCCAAACTGGGTGCTCACTCCACTACCAGCCTGGCCCTAAACACACAGGGATCCGCCCTAAGCTGTCGACCTCAAAGTTCGGGCCGCTCAAGGTTGATAGATATGTATAGATTTAGATGTAGACATAGATACATATATATATATATATATTTTTATTTATTAATATGTATATGTACTTTTTTACATACGATATGTAGGGTTTGGGGTGGATTAGGGACGTAAGCCCAAGAAATACGCACCCAAGCCAAGCAGCGGTGCGAGCACGCCAGGTGGTACCTCGTCGGCCCTCCGCAGGCGAATGGGGTCGACACAGAGGCGCAGGGACGTCAGGCCCACGATACGGCAAGTAGGTATAGCTAGAGGCTCAGGGTAAGTGAGGACGCAAGGTTAGCTTCAAACATTGCGTAGCGTGCCTTGTGCTGAGCACAAAACCAAGCCGGGGGCATGATTCCTCCGTTAGCTGCCAACTGCTTCGGCCAAATTAACTTGCATCCTCTTCTCATCAATTCTCCCGTTGTCTGTTCAGCCCCTTACACTTGCACGCCACAAAACCAAAACCTGGAACCTTCCGCTGCCCAAATCCCAGGAATGAGGGCGCTCTGCGTCTGGGGAAAGTTTGGAATGATGTAGGCTTATATGGCATATGGGAGCCAAGAGCTGACGCGGCCAGGCCCCCCCACCCAGGAGCGTAGGATCGGCCCAGGTCACCCTTCCACGAGACAGGAGGCTCAGAGTTTATATGGGCTCGTTCTCAAAGTTTTTGGGCCTTAGGGGTTTGGGTGTGGTGGCGGGGCGTTCCCGGAATGGCTTCCCTTCTGGTGGTGGGACGATAGATTGAACCTCCTGCTACTGCAATGATCCCTGTTCGGGTAAGGACCATAAAGGTCCATCCGGTCGAATCAGGTTTTAGGGCAGAGCGCCTCATATGAACACGTATACCAAAGTAGGGACCTCATAAGCATTCCTATGATACGCTCGCGGCTATGATTTTGGGCATTTGTGTTCGAAACATTGGGTGGAGTGAACAAGTTCCACCCGTTTTGGATGCTTTTTGGATTTTTGGGCAAGGGATTTCATGCACATTGTCTTTTTGGGCATGGGGCGTCTCAGCCTTCGGTATGTTGTGCCAGTTCTGAGCCCGCGGCCCGAATCATGATCACCGCGAGCGGCGCCTCGGCTGGAGGGGAGGTTGAGGCTTCGGGTTTTTTTTGAGGCTCTGGGATTCAGGGCAGAGTTTGCAGGCAAAGCATTCGTGGAAGCATTCACGTGAAGCTTGCCTCCCCCCCCCCCCGTTTCCTGGTTTCCTGGGTGGCGTGCAAGGAGAAGGACCAGCAGAATGATCACGCACAATGGGACCAACGACCTCGGCATTCAGAATCCAAAGCTTCCCCGCGGGCTTGCGATGGTGGGCCCCAAAGCTGGGCATCCGCGAGGCGAGGGGGGGGTTTGGGAGTTTTTGCGGTTCGGGGGCTCGCAGAGCTCAAGGCCTTGCTGGATCCCCCATCCTGCCCCCGGCTCTTCATGCCCAATAACGCGGCATACCAGCGAAACAAGCAACTAGAAAGGAACCCATCGTCGACGGGCTTAGGAATGCTCAGGATGTGATGTCGATGTCTGAAAAAACGCCCTCAACGCTAAACCCCTACCTCTCCTCCTTTCGACCCCCCATATCCCACCCCCCCTCCCCGGGCCCCCGAAGCTTCTTGGGGTGCCGGCGTCCACATGAACCCGGCCTTGCCTTCGCAGAGACAAAGCAGTGTAGGACAGTGTAGGATTGCAGTATTCAACTCATGGCAGGGCCCGCCTGACTTGGTGCGCACCTCCGGTTCTCCCTTAGTCAGGCAGCTGCCAGAATGCTAAAACACCCGAACGTTTGCCCAAACCCTGAACCTTGAAACGCTTGAACCAGCACCCCGGAAGGAAACCGTTCTTTGGGCCGCTCTGCGAGCAGAATTTCAAGCTGCGGAAGCTCGTTTGGTAGCGATACTTTACCTCAAGGCCTAGATCCCAAAATTCCCTGTGTTTGCACGTCACTCAGGATGACTGCCTTGTGCCTTGACATGGTTTGGGCCTTCTTTGGCAGTGCCAGGCTCGTTGGAGACCCCTTCTTCAAATCCTTCACGCATATGCAAGTCACCGTCTTAACCTATGCATGCCGATGGATGTCTGTAGCCATTCACAGTACCTCTGGTATGCCCTAAAGACTGATCGATGTTCTCGACAAAAACAGAAAAACTGGTGTTTTGTCTGGATTCCATGCAAAATTTAGTAAATATGAGTCAGGCCGTAAATCAAATTATCATCGAAGTCCGGCCAAAACATTTGTGAATCACTTCTTTCTTGGTTCAAAATCCTTCGATAGCAAACTCCAGGAACTTTCGTAAGCGCGCAACAGCTCCTTTCAAGAGGTCGTTCCCGACCCTTAAGGTTGTGGGCATACGGCTCAGGTTCTTGGAGAGCGCGCGTTGGGGGGGCTGCCTGCATTTCCATGAACCCACAAGGGTTCACTGAAGCCCTTGAACTCTGCCGAATCTGCGCCGCAATAGTCGTCGGTCACCTGGAACTTACAGCTCCTCTCTTCCGCTGGCACTCCCACACACTGCCTGTTGGACCTTCCAGGTGAAGAGCCCTTCTCTCTGCCAAGTGACAGAGCCAGAGAACTCTCCCATGCTTCGGAAACATGGCCCCAACAAGCTCCAATAAGACACGACCCAGGACCCTGGCCTCAAAGATTCAGCGATACGAGAGAAACCTTCCATCAACTCCTCAGGGAACAACACTGAGTTCGCGAAGATGACGTCTGCATCGGAGAAGTCAACATCCAGCAGACTGCCATGAATGAACCTGGGAGAGATCATATCCTCATTCCCAAGCTGCTGGAGATTCCTTGCCGCCAGCTCCGCACCCAAGGACCTACTTTCCACCACCTCCACGCCAGTTGCATTCAAACCGAGAAGCGCAGCGGCCAGCACTGTCTTGCCGGTGCCACTTCCCAGGTCATAGTAGCGGTCGCCACGTTTAACTCCCAAGCACTGCAGCATGGCGGCCGTAGAATTAGGATGAATCTCGCCATACCTCGCAAGTTCTTGGAACTTCTTCAAGATTGACCCCTCCTGCTAGAAGTGAAGCAAACACTGAAACCGACAACTTCCAGGAAGGCCCCGGATGCAAGTATGTGTCTTCTGTGAGCTCAACTCTGCTGGACGTCTTCGCACGTTGGACGTGTTGTCTGGCCACTTCCACACCGTCAAGAGACATCCACGAAGCATTCATAGCTTGCAAATCGTATGCTGCCTCCAGAGCCTCCAACATGTAGTCAAGCTCCCCGAGCATATTATCACCAGCGCCCACGGCTTCGACAGCGCATTCCCATGCGGGTGCTTCGCAAGCAGCAATGCAAAGCAGGCTTCCAGCCGCAAGTCGGAACATGTCTGAGTCTCCTTCTACCTCGTGGCCCTCGTGCCTCAGCGACTTATAAGGCTCGATTTGTGCTACGTCTGCGTTTGAGGCCGTTGGGGCTGAACCTGGAAAGCTGGCAAGTCTGCATGCGGAAAGCGCACAACACTGCAGAGTAGAGCAACGTCATGCTGCATCTTCCCTGTCGGACAACGAAGCCCAAATCCCACACTCAAGCAATGTAAGCCCCCTTGCGCTCATCCGACTCTGCTTCAGGTCTGCATCGTCTGGATATTCTCAACGGGATGTGGCACGTGTGGCTGGAGGCTTCAGGGCTGGCACACGAATCATGTGCTTCGAAGAACGTACCCTTTCTCACGGGGAGGGGGGGGGGGACCCTTTTCAAGGCTCGCCTTCACATTTTTCGGGGATCCTTGTTTTTACCAGCCCAGAAAGCTCCCTGATCCCTGGGGCGCCAGCATGGACTCCTCCTGCACCGGCACACAAGGCTCTGGAAGAGGGCTCAGGAGCCAAAGCTCCCCGAACACCACCCAAAGACGCCGTAAAGGACCCGACCCGAAGATTTCACCCTGAACCCAGGGGAGCCTTGAAACGATCCTCAAGGGCGTCAACAGGCGCTACAGGGAGTGTAGGGGAGATGGTTGGGCAAACCCTCTCAGCGAGGCTTTCCTTCACAGTCCCCCCAGAACGCTCCCACTCCGAATCTCTCTGCTCGTGGGTCCTGTAACGACCAAATGTGAACCACCGGCTCCTGCTCCATGCACGTACCTGGGGAGCTTGGGCATTTAGGCCCCGAGTTTGGCGCTCAGAGGGGCTTCAGAGGATGAGGGCACGATGGGACATGAGGAGAGTCCCTGGTGCTCAACACGCACGGACCACTGCCGTTTCCACGAAGATTGCCAGAATGGCGAGTCACAGGAATCTGTTCTTCCTACAGAAGGGTCTCGCCTGTATAAATGGTCGTGGACATCAAGAACTACCTCCGGCATGCAGCCGCTGACTACGTTCAAGTACGCGACGTTGACACAACCCCAGCAATGACAACGAGGGTTTGTGCGAAACCTCCGAAATGGATCGCAAAAACTCACTGTTGCTTCTCGTCGTTTCACGGGAAAACCTGCATACCGTCCGGCATGGGGCATAGCAGTTGGCAGGGTGTCTGGAGGTCTGGCTAGGCCACCACAACGAGTCATGAGCAAGGGCTGCTGCAAAAGAAGGCCCAAGGCTGCATAGGCCCAGGCGAGCCGACAAACCCCCTTCGTTTCGGGTTTTTGCCTCCAGGCCCTAGCGACAACAATAGCAACGACGACAAGAACAGCCACGGCGATAAAGGCTTCAACTACTTTGGAGCAGGGCCTGAGACAATTCCATTGACAGTGTGGAGAGTCCTACGTCTGCGGTTTAGCCAGCGAAATCCCCCGGGATTGGAGGGGCTTGAGGAGCGAGCTGTCTTGGGGCATTTCGGGGTTCAGCTGCAACCCTCAAGCCACTGAGCTTCCCACACGATGTCGCCATCCTCATTTCGTGATGGTAGGGCTCTTGCAGTTGCAAACTCGCCACTTCAAACTTCCGGCTGCATCTCAAAAAACTGAAGCCCGACTCGGGTTTCTGGTTTCAAGCAGAGGGCTCCAGTTGCAGCCTTGAGGTTGTTGAGGGGCTTGGAGCTTGAGGCATTTTAAAGATTAGGCTGCAAGTCATCAGTAGCAACACCTCCATCTCACAAGTACACCCTGCCTCTCCAGAGCCCGCGCCCTAAACCCTAAACTTGTCTGGCACGAGGACACCCAATTGGGGAAACCACCAAAAAATTAAAAATGCGGAAACCACGTCAGGTCATGAAGGCTTGCCCGGTTTCCCCCCTCTGCCACATTGCTGCATTGCTGAGTGCCGAGCTCGAACAGGGCCTGAGACACGGAGGGAACTTCCAACTCTCGAGCTTACTGGCTTACTGTCAACCTTCTAACCTGCCGCTAAACCGCCCCCAGCCCCCCGCCTGCCCCTCGAAGTGAAGTCTCCAGGAACTGCCACACCCTATTTAAGCACATCGGAGCGCATGTTTGAGGAGAGAGATGATGCCTTCTGCTGTCGACTTAGTGAACAGGATGCCGTCTTCAAAAACCCTGAGCCTCAGTGGGAGCTTCCCTACTCAGCTTCGGACTCCGAATCTCTTCTATACTGCCAGGTCTCCCCTGAAAAGCCTGTCTACTTGAGAAGAGGGCCACGCCGAAAACCCACTCATGCGAGACCCGCACACGAAAGAATTTGCGCTGCAGTGCGATGCTGAGGCATTCTTTGTTGGCTGCGGTCAGGGGCAGATGCCGTGCACAAGATGAGAGGGCTGAGGCTTGTGAGCTGGCTGCTGCAACGTAAAAAGTCGGAAAAACACGCCCCAAGGGGGAGGCAGCATTTCTTTCCACCCTGCATGAGGCCCATGGAGAGAGTGCGTGCAGAGACTTTCAGGTCAGGCCACGGAGCCGCATGGACATTGCTTTTGCAAAAGAGAGAGAGAGATATAAATAAAAAAACACACACCCAATTACGAACCCAAAGTCACACGCCCCCCGCTTCGAAAGGGCCCTTCGTGGGGGGAGGCGGGGGGTCTTGATTCAATGTGGGCTTCTAAACGGCGTGGGTTGGAGAAAAAAAGGGCGCGCAAAGAGTCTCCCTGAAAACCCCCGACATCCAGGCGAAGCGCCTGTCACCAAAGGAGCGCTCTCGAGGTCAGACCTCCGACGCAGCAGGAGGGTTACCATGTAGGGATGGGGTTACCATGGGGTTGCCATGGGCTTTTGCACGGGCCGAGTAGGCTCAAGGCCCTCTGAATTCGGGTGAGTGCAAGGGATGCAAGGGATGCAAGGGATGCAAGGGATGCAAGGGATGGGGATGGGGATCGGGCTTTTCAACGTGGGGACAATGCTGGCATAAGATGGGACTGGGGCTTGCGAGGAGAACGCACTCTCAGACTGTCCAGAAAGCTAACCAACCCATAAGCCCCCCGGCAGCCTAAACCCAGAAACTCGGAGCCGGAAACCGCCCCCCAAACAAAGAGCACAGCGCCAGACTCTCCAGAAGACAAGGACTTGGAAACAAAAATCCCAGCGCCGGGCGCCACCATCCTCTCAGCGGAGCCTCGTTGCGACTCGCAGAGAGGGCGTGGTTGGACTGTGTGGGTTTGTGGGGTCTGCCACCCCCTCCTTGTAGGGTTCGCTGCTTGCCTGCAGCTGGGGCGGAGGGCCTTCCTTTAGCGGCAGAGCTTCGACTCCCTGAGACAACAAAAAAAACATACAAGAAAGCAAAAACTAAGTTGCATCCAGGCAGAAAAATGTTACAAGTCACCTCGCTAGCATCCCGAGCCCTGAACCTCTCCTGAGACTTCCTGGCGCCAAGCCTCAGTGCAAAGTGTCCACTCTGACCAAAACCAAAACCCTACTCCTTGGAAAAACCCTCGACCGTGGCGGGTGGTCCAAGCTTGTGGGGTTCTGGCACGAGGCACGTCTCTCAAGTAGGCTTCGGGGCGTGCATTGCACCAGGAGACCAAAACAAAGGACTCGCCGCCCTCCCCACCCCCCCCCCCACCTCTCTTTGCAGCTTAGGCCGTTGCTAACCCTTCCAAGAGATGCTGCCGAGCAGCTCTTTTAAGCCGATGCCGCTACTCGGAGAGAGAATGCTTGGAGCCGATACTGCGGTCAGGAGTCTTGGGGTGCTGCTCAGAAGGCTCTCCCAAGGTGCCAAGGAGAGCCTGGGCCCTGAACGAAGCAGGGGGGGGGTCTTTAAACTGCTTGGAACTTCAGTGTGCCAGTGTGCCCGGGCATGAACTGAAGGGCCCATCCAAGGAAGCAGTGCTTGTAGAGTAGGGCTCAGCTGAAGCTCTCGAAAGGGAAAACCATTCTTCAAATCGGACTCCGGAGGCTCGAACCCTCAACACCCCCCCCCCCCCCCCCAAGCCCCGAATCTCTCGAAAGGTTTTTGGTCTTCTCAATCCTCCGAGAGGTCCCACCGTTTCCCGAACAAAGACCTCCGAGCCCTGATCCCTCCCCCATGAAAGGCAAGCATGTATCAATAGGCTAAAAGCTCAAAAATCATGAACGTCACGGGCGAAACCTCCTGTCAAAGCCTGAGCCTCGAGATGGGGCCCGCACGTTTTTGCTTCGCTGCCTTTGCCCGAGCACGAACCTCGTGCGCGGGGATGTGGATGGGCTCTTCGTCGGGTTTAAGGCTCAGGGCTTAGGGGTGTAGCGTGTGGGTTGCGGGCCCCTGTGCACTTCCGGCGTGCGCAAAAGGGCTTTGGTTGGTCCTTACTTTAGTTCTTGGATGTGCTTCACAGCCGTAGATGGAGTAGCTACAGAAACATGTTGCGGGCCTCAGCCCAACTCTGCACAGCAGGCCGCCATCCCGAGCTCTGACCCCAAGACTCATCTTATAACCCGGCCCCCCGCCCTCGCACCCCAAATCTGCTCAACACGGCCGGGCCTTCTTGCGCTTCTGTTCCACCTTCACGGACCTGCGCCCATGATAAGTTTTGACGTTTTTTTTTCCGGATTTTGTGTGTTTTTTGCGGTTGTTTTGCTTTATTTTGGATCTAACGTGGTTATTTGCAATACTTTAATGGATGAGTAGTAAACATGCTTCCTTTTCTCTCATGATTCTCATCTCTTTCAGAAGGTCGGTAGCTGGACGGAGCCGAAGAAATCGAAGGGACTTTGGAGGGGAGCATTTCAAGGCGACGCAAGCGCCTCAAAGTTTCAAAGCTCCCAACAGACCCTGAAGCCCCCGGGGCCAGAACCCAAACCGACAAGCGTCAAAGGCTTTCAGGGGAATGGGATTCCATTACGAGGATTGCGGAACTTTAGGGTCCGCAACAGAAAAAAGTCGAGAGTCGAGTCAAGGCTTCAGTTGAGGCAGAGTTCGTGGTGGGTGTAAAAGTTGCGGGGGGGGAGGAAACCTTCTTCTTGGCTTGAGCTCTGAGTCAGTCTCCCCGCAAACCTCGTGTCACAGAACTTCAAGAGCTTGGGCTGTCTGACGGACAAAATCTGCCGATGAACCGCCCCCCCGCCCTCTGTTCGTTGTGGACTTCGTCTTCGCAACCTTTGTCTTCTTGACCTCGGCGAGAGCACCCTAAACACTTTGGCCCTAAGCACGAAAGCTCTGAACTCGAAGCCAGCTTCTTGGGTTTAGGTTTGAGGGGCTGAGGGGCTTAGACAGAACTTCACGGTGCGGATAGCGATGTCACGGCTTCCAACATTACGTCACATATGCCTAGGCTGCCATCTCACAGTAGACCTTGACATCTTATCGCCAGCGTCGGAACTACAGCCAGCTGTGACGGAGGAAGGTGCGTAAGCCAGTGGCCCGACAAAGAGAACTCAAAAATCGGGACTGCAAAGGGCAAAACATGTAGACCCCAGAACCCCGACTCCAAAAACCAAGCACTGAACCGCAAAGCCTGAAACCACTGAAGGTAAGCTCTGAAGATCTCAGCCCGGGTCATACTTGCCCATGCGCGGCCACGGCGAAAACCAGTGTACGATATGTATGGAGCGCGGTGAGACTCCGTGCTGGAATAGTGCAGTCTAAGAGAAAGCAAAAAGGGACAAACGGGACTTCTTTCTTGCAACATGGCCGGCACCTCATCAGGCAACCCGTCGCGGTTGTCAACAAAGTACAAGTCTAATTATACATAAGCCAAATGGCCGTTCAGTACGAGCAGACTGAATTCCAACTCGTCGTGCAAACTCTTTGCCATCATTGCCTTTGCAAATCTCGAACCGAAACTTTCGCAACTGCGGTCCTCATCGGCTGTCATCAACGGCTTTGTGAGGTCTTCTCTTTTGGCTTGCGCATGTTCAGGGCCGCGGACAGTCTTGGTGAGGACGCTGACCAGCGGACGCACATGACACGGACCAAAAGTATGTTACTGCGGACTTGCTTGAAGGAGTGCATTGAAAGAGTGCATGATGTGCAGTGTGAGACATCAACCTTTCAATGCGAACCTCGCAACCCAATCCCATTTAACAAAACAAACACTGGACAGACCCCTGCACACCGCAACTTTCACTCTTCTGTTTGCTTCTTCCGGGGGTAAGAGCTTGGATGTATAATCTTGTGCCAGCTGCGACAATGCGCCGACAACTGACGACTTCAAACAAAATCTCACATGGTCTTTGCTTCCATTTCCTTTGCGGACCCCGTCCGAAGTGGCCGATACAAAGAGATCAGAGCACGCAACTCTGTTTGCACAGATCCTGTCGACGTCTCAAAACCGCAAAAAGCAACGCCTCGCGTCCATCCCACGCAGCCCCTGTAATCCTCTCAACACCGGAATCCAATCGTGAACCTGTACATCCTAAACCTTGGGGGGGGATGCATCCGGGGGGGTGCACACAATGCTGGGCTTAGGCTTGCTGGGCCTTAAGAGGTTGAGGCGAGGTGACAACGCCGCAAGAAACTAGCAAACAAAGGACGTCGGTTTGAACTAGCTTGAGAAACTCCAAACAAAACCCAAAGCATCAAGGCGTCGATGTGAGCAACACACGTTTCACAGGAACAAGATCCCTGCAAGGAGAGGGTTCTATCGCGATATTGTTTTTTCAGATGGACAGGCATCCCTTCCCTACTGAAAAGACAACCTCAAACCGTAAGGCTCTCCGAATCCTTGGAATCCTCGCTGTCGTTAGACAAGGATGCATCTATGCGTTGGCTACCTCACCCTCCGGTCCAGCGATGGCTGCTGCCAAGCGAAAAGGAGCAGATAAGCCACAACGAGCACTCTGCTCAAAGGCTTGGGGCACTGCATGAAAAGCCTTTCCCACGGTTGCTGAACAGTCCAAAGCACCAGCTGTGCGACAATGACGGCAAAGGCGATAAACGACGCCCCAACCCAAAAAGGGAGATCAGGCGCCAATGACGTGCGTGTAGGTTGTTGATGGACATAGCCTTGGAAGAAAAACCAGGGTGAAGACATGCGCTGGCATCGATGCAGCACCCAAAACAACCATGGGTCATGGAGAGTTACGATGCCAAGCGCCAGCGGAGCTATCCGCGAGACGATGCCTCGAAGTGCTCTTGGCATCGCCACGGCAGGCTGGAGGCAACACATCGCCACTCCCAGGTGAAAGAAGACGCCTCCCCAAAAGAAGTCCGGGCCATTGTCCGTGCAGGTCTGGGCCAGGGCCTCTAAGTCCCCGTTCTTGTCGGGTACATGGGGCAAGCAGCGAAGCCAACCCAAACTGCACAACAAAGCGGCCAGAGAGCTCCAAAAGAGCGGAAACCGCTCTCCCCAGCTGAGGAGCGGCTTGCGGCACAAAGACACCGCAAGCACCAAAAAGCTCATCGGCAAGCGATAACAAGAGAACTCATAGTAAAGGCCGTTTGCGGGCTGGTGCGGGTAGAGGACAAGAAATGTTGAAGCCATGAAGGCAAGCACACCTGTGGGAGGAACACCGTGGTAGTTGAAGATGTAGACGCTTCTCAACGCCAGCCACACCTTGAGATCCATGTGCAGTTGCCACTGGTAAGAGAATGTGAGGCAGGTGACCACTGTGTCTAAAGACCACGGAAGCTTTTGAACATCCAAGCAGGATTCCACATTAGGGCATATCCCAGCGCTCCATACATTGGCCCGGAGCAGGACGTAGCTGAGAGGAAGCTGCCGAGCCAATTTTCGCCACAGCGCGTCTAGACTGTCAAGCAAGCTTTCTGAATGGGACCTGTGTACAAGAACTGAAACCACGTCAAAGACGTCAATGAATCGATAAGCGTGCCGCCAGATTGCGCGGTCATGTCTCGAATTTCGGTTGATGTTGAGGTGAATAAGAACAACTGCCAGCACACCAACCATCCGTGCACAGTCTATTGTCACATCCTTTCCCGCCTGTTCTCGATGCACGGCCTGCTGAGCTTTGCCCGATCGGCTCCAAAATCTTGTATGCAAAGCTCCCATCAACCATGGGACCAACACGGGCAAGATCTCGAAAAAGTAAAGCTGAAAGTCATTCCTGGAGATGATGTCTACGTGCGGGGCGGTGGCATGGTGGGCACTCACCCATTGCAAGGCAAAAACGGCCGAACTTGCAGGCATGAGGTCTTCCGTCACTGTTGGCAGGCAAAGGATGTCGATGCTTCCATTGCCCTTCGATGCTGCAATGATGGTGCCACTAAGACTCCAGCACAACTGCACATCCTCACAGCTGAAGGTCCTTGTAAGAACGCTCCTTCTGAAAGAGGAGACGCAGTGCTCGCAGCGATAGAACTTCTGCAGAAGTGTGACCTGCGGCATCTCCTCCAGGCAACATCGATTGTAAGTGTAGATTGACGAGAAACATTCGTGGTTTCCGCGCGGAAGTGATGGCGGGCAGCAGTACTCGCGTGTATAGATCCCGTGCCAGCAACCGGGGTGTCTGAGCTGGTGTTCCGAGTGCTCCAAGAACGCATGGACCTCGTCCTGAAGATGGCCTCCCGCTGAAAGGCCAGCTGGAGGATCTTGAAAAGGGAGCTCCAAGTTAGGTCGGGCGGTTACTTCCAAAACGAGATCATCACGCACTGCGCTCAGGGCAGCCACCACCCCAGGATCTCGCTTGCACCTGTTCTGAAGGGAATGGCCTTCCCGCCAGCTGAGCGAGTCTTGCTTGAAAGCATTGCAGCATGCCTTCTCCTGGAAACGATTCCCTGCCCAGCAGGACTGACAGCACTCCTCATATGTGAAGATACCGCTCCAGCATTCAGAAACATTGGCAATACAGCAGAACGGCTCGGTGAAGACACCAGACCAGCAATCTACAGCCAGATTCGCACCTGCCGTGGTTGCCATAGTTTGCCTATTGTGGCTGCTGTTGGCTGTAACCTTCGCTGGACAGCACCGCTCGTACGTGTAGACATCGTCCCAGCACAAGGGGTGTCCAGCTGCATACGATGCGTCACAGCAGAACTGCTCGTTGAAGACACCAGACCAGCAATCCACAGCCAGTGTCACATCAACACTTGCTTGACTCTTCTGGCGGATGTCGGCCGCAACATTCGTCACGGGGCAGCACTTCTCAAATGTATAAACGGCGTCCCAACATGTGGGGTTTCCAGCTACATATGATGGGTCGCAGCAGAACTCCTGCGTAAAAAATGCAGACCAGCAATCAGCTGAACCCACGGTAGCCATGCCCAGATCAGAATACACAGATCCAATTTGCCATAGCGAGATCGCGGAGGCGTGCTCAAGTCAGTTCACTGCTCAAGAAGCGACCCGAAAGCTTCAGCTGCGCAGGACTAGATGGGTTTTAGGAGCTTCTAGGGCTTGGCAGGTTCAAGGGGCTCTCAGGGTCTATGACGGACTGTTGGGGCTTTTTGTTCACATGAATCAAACAGTTCGTTGGGCTGAGCATTCTTGGTGTATAGGATTTGTCGGGTTAAGCAGAGGTTGCCGGGCCTAAGTCCAGGGCTTAGAGGCTTGACAGGGCTTGCAGATTGCAAGGATCTACGGTTTCTGCCCAAAGCCCGCGAAAGTGCCGATGGACTTGTCGGAAGGAGTGTAGACTTCTGGGAACCAGATATGGGATGCACGCCACGTTTAACGAAAGCCGAGCTCTAATGCAAAGATCGCGAAGATGCCCACCTTCCCCCGTCGAACACCCCAGGCCGTTCATTTTTAGACAGTTTGGGGCTCAGAAGTGCCCATCAAGTACACCCTGCAAATTCTCGACTTTCAACGACTTAAGAAGTAAGATCCTTAAGCCTTAAACACTATTCCCTAAGCCCTGCCCTAATTACCGATCGCACGCCTTTCCCGCGGCTGTGATGGGCGATTCCTGCCCAGTGCTGGAGCATCGTTGGCCCAAGGAGCACAGTTGCCGCTGAGTGGCCTAAGGTTCACGGATCAAGGCACTTCTGGGTTTCCAAGCCGAAAGTACGTGGGAGAACCATAGGGGTGATGGCGATAGAGCTGAAAAGGGCGTCGGGAGTTGAAAATCACACACGTGAGTCCAGGTACCACGTAGGAATTCTGGTGCAGGTTGCCTTCGTTTACTGGTCGCCCTCGGGAAGCACTAAGCCTGCTTGGTAATAAGCAACCCGAGCCTGCTGACCCTGAACTTGAAGCCCCAAACTTTGAAATTCTGTGCCGTGAAGAATTCTGGTCAATCCGAGAAGGGTATTAACACAATTCTGTTGAACCCGAAACCCTACACTCTGTGCCCAAGCTGGGATTTCACCCGCAGGAGCAAGCTAACAACCGATCCACGGAGCGCCGAAAGCACCAAGAACACACTGCCGAAGCCTCAGAACTGCTTTGAAGTTGTGGGGTTTTGAGCTGAGGGTTCAGGGTGTAGGATTGACCGTTTTCTCAACGAGAAACCCTAGATTCGTGGAGCTGAAGGGGTTAAGGGGTTTGACGGTTGAAGCCCTAAACCAATGAACCCTAAGAGCCCGAAAACCCAAACATCCCTAGAACCTAAATAAAAATAGAGAATCCTGCACCCAACAGCCAATGTTGCCGACATGCTGCCCCCCCGAAGGATTCTGGGGTCGTGGGTTGAGCTTGAGAGGTTGAGCATTGGCTTCTAACCTAACCCGCCTAACCCTGGAAGGCCTACAGTTGGAGAACGAAACTGCCCAACACCCGAAGCTTCAACCGCTTCGAGAATTTTGCATTTAGAGTCTCGGACGTCACACTGTTCACAATCAGAAACATTTCTCAAACCCCTACGACTATACAGACGCTCCAAACAAATGAAAATCCCGCACCCTGCCTCTGCCTGTTTTCCTGCAAACCCTAAGGCTTGGAACGCAGATGTCTCAGGATGTCTCAAGGAGGGTTTACAGGGGTTTTTGTCTGTGGGGAGGATGCATGGGGTTTTTCGAGCTTAAGGACATCGCCTGGGAGCCGACTGGTTGGCCACAGGAGGCGCCAGCGGCTGCAATGAAGGCGTGGATAGGGACGCCGAGCGCCATGGCCTCAGCCCAGGCAAGTTTAGGACATACCTGAACCCCTGAACCCCAAGACCCTTTTGTCACAGCTTGTGGTTGAGCTGGGTGTGCTGGCGGGCTGCGAAATGTCGTGGCTTGGGTCTGCGATCACCCGTCACAGTAAACTTGAACCCCCCCCTTCTTGCAATCAGTATTCCCGAAACCCCCCCCCCTTCATGCAATCATTTCCTGCCTTGAGGGTATGGCTGCTCATAACCCCCCCTTTGCAAATTCCAAGGGACTGTTTTCGGTAACGGCTTCGCCCGCTCGCAGTCACAGCCAATTCCAGGGACTGTTTTCGGTAACAGCTTCGCCCACTCGCAATCATAACAAATTCCAGGGACTGTTTTCGGTAACGGCTTCGCCCGCTCGCAGTCATAGCCAATTCCAGGGACTGTTTTCGGTAACGGCTTCGCCCGCTCGCAGTCATGGCAAATTCCAGGGACTGTTTTCGGCAACGGCTTCGCCCGCTCCCAGTCATAGCCAATTCCAGGGACTGTTTTCGGTAACAGCTTCGCCCGCTCGCATTCATAGTTTTTTCCAGGGTCTGTTGTCGGTAACGGCTTCGCCCGCTCGCAGTCATGGCCAATTCCAGGGACTGTTTTACGGCAACGGCTTCGCCCATTCGCAGTCATTGCAAATTCCAGGGTCTGTTTTCGGTAACGGCTTCGCCCGCTCGCAGTCATAGCAAATTCCAGGGACTGTTTTCGGTAACGGCTTCGCCCGCTCGCAGTCATAGAAAATTCCAGGGACTGTTTTCGGTAACAGCTTCGCACGCTCGCAGTCATAGCCAATTCCACGGACTGTGTTCGGTAACGGCTTCGCCCGCTCGCAGTCATAGCAAATTCCCGGGACTGTTTTCATTGACGGCTTCGCCAGTTCGCAGTCATAGCTTTTTCCAGGGGCTGCTTTCGGTAACGGCTTCGCCCGCTCGCAGTCGTCTCAAATTCCAAAGCGGATATGAATTTTCAGGTTTACCCCCCTGCAATCTCTTTTAAGGTAGCGGTGATGGTCCGCGTGCACATTTGCCGTAAAGCACATGGAACTCCATAGGCCCTGAAGCGAAGCAAGGAACGGTGTAGGAGTCTGAGGTGTAATGGGACTCGGTTACAAATTTCCTGGAAAGGAAATAACTATGAATTTCAAGTGCGGGCCAGCCACATAGTCCATGTGCTTGACCGGCGGCAGGTTGCGAACGCATAGCCCATTCGTTGTTCAGCTGGTTCTGCACAGCGACCTCTGACAGCGTTGTTTGAGCATACAGAAACTCTAATCAAACCACTACCTAGGACACATCTAAACAACAAGAAGCAGCACACCGGAGGCTTCTGACGCGGAGGGCTTCCGAGCAATGCGGCAGCACCCTGGACCCTATAACCCTAGACTCCGGGTTAGGAGAATGGCGTAGTTAAAACCTACCAACCACACACTGAGGGTGAGAAAAACTGTCACTCAACGGATTCGGTTGGGCACTGGGCACTGCAGGGCTTCCCTGTCGCTGTAGGGTCGGACACTCCCGGCCCTGCAATTTGGCGCTCCGAGGATTCTCTGGGGCAATAAAACTCAAAAGCCTCAACACACTCAACCTGAATTCTGCTCTTGCGATCCCTTCGATTCAAAGAGACTGCACAACGAATCGGATCCCTTACTTTTAGAGTAGAGGGCCGAGCTACAGTCAAATGACCACCATGGGGTCTTGCACGTCCAAAGCCTCGCCGAAGTTGAACCCTAGCGCGGGGAGTACTGTAGGCTACTGGGGTGGAGGGCTTAACGTATGGGGTTGCACTGGGGCGCATGCCTTGGCAACGGCAACGTTCTGCTTTGTTGGCATCAAGGGTCACAAAGCCCAGCGGCGCCCATGCCACCTTTCCATCCATGGATGTTTGGCATCGTTTTGAGGCGTTAAATGTATAGGCGCGTCTCAAACCCCAAACCCAACATTGTCTGGAACCCCAAGCCCGAAACCCTCGAGCTCAATCGGGGCTGGGCCTGTAGACCTTGAGATCTTCTTCTTTTTTTTAAGCGGACGCCCCTTTACCACATCAGCGGCCCAGTGGGCAGGTCTTGGCAACGGAAGGACATCTACTTTGAGAGCCAAACTGTACAAGCCAGCGAGTGTAAAAGAAGTCGTGACTACAAAGAAGCAACCGCTAGCGCAGAGGCCCTTATTGCAAGACAACTTAACGCAAGGCCAGCGAGGTGAGACCAATGCAAACAAGAACCTACCGCCGTCACCCATAGCAATGCTGCGCCACGTCTGGTACAGACATTAAGCGAAAGTATGGGTAGGCCGTAAGGCAAGGAACCTCCGTCACCTAAACTGCTCAACGCGTCCGTAGAGACAGTCCCCACACAAGCGCCAGGGCCGTAGCAAAAGCATAGCACTCAGGACTCCTTTTTGGGTTGACAAGAAAGTTGCAAGCGCACTGAAAGAAAGGTACGAACGCGCACAAAGGCACAATGCACACAGAGTGCCAGAAAGGGCGCCTCCCCCCCCCTGCAAGCGGGGGCAGGCAAGGGGCTGGTGTGGCTACACAATGCTGCCATCGGCGCTATGTGAGTCCGGGCGTCCTCACATAGCTATTAGGGGAGTACCCTATTTGGAGGCTCCTTGTGTTTGCGCTGAAAGTTTTGAGGCTCGACCCCATGGCCATAGGGCGGGCCTGGAGCGCTGCTTGCAAGAGGCCATATGTTTACAGCCCCGCGCAGCGGCCGATTTTTGAGACGGCACAAGAGCCCCAAAGGCTGCTGGCTTGGCACGCTTAGCTTGGTGACGTAGCGCCTGGAAGCCTCCGAAGGCTGAAACACTGCTGGGCCTCGCCTTCCAGAGAAGGTTTCAGCAGTTTGCGCAAAGAACAGGCGGCGTTCAACAGCATAGCTGCGCTGTTTACAGCTACCGTGTACCGCCCCCTTGCCAAACAACCCAAACCTGCCGGATTGGCGCGATTTTTTTGATGAGGCAGGACTCACACGGTAGAATGATTACACAGGTTCGCTCACGGTCTCCCCCTGCAGTGCAAGTATCAGGCCGCACGCAGCGCGGAGCTCGGAGCATTTTAAGGCCCCCAAGGCTGCTTAACGGTCTGCAGCCAACCGCGCATCAAGTGTGAGAGTCAAGGGGCCTTATAACTCAGAGCCCCGCGCAGTGGCCGATTTTTGTGGAGAGCACTTTAAGCAGGTTTACCCCGTGACTACACCTGATGCGGGACCCACAGCAAAGTGTTAGGCCTAACCACTTCTGGGCCTGCTGGAGAAGATTGAAGCAGCAGTTTCTCACATACCTTCTGGGCCTTCTGGCGAAGGGTTCAGACAACCCGCACTGCATGACCTAACCCTAGTTGTACTAGAAGAGGGGAAGGGCGAACCTCCCAGGCCTAGGCACCTAACGGGGAGAGGCCTAGGGGGTGACAACGCCTTCCCCAGCGACGCTCACTTGTTTTCACGGGTGCTGCTCTGGGCGATTTGGCAGCATGGCCCGGGGGATCCCCGGGCGAGAGATCCCCCGAGGCATGCAGGCAGGCAGAACCCCCTCTTTGGAAAGGTTCATAGGCGGCCTACTGGGATAGGCTACTCCACTTTGGGAGGCAAGTGTGCGGCGAATGGCTTGAGCTTGAGGCTACTCCACTTTGGGAGGAAAGTAAGAGGCGAATGGCTCCACGTAGAGCTTCCGTCGTGTGAAGAGCGTTGGTGTCCTCTCGGAGGCAATGGCTGCGCAGCGAGTATGAGAGGATAAACGATGGGCCCGCAGGATGTGTTTGAGCTGGGCACGGGCGGGTGGGCGAAAAACACGATCCAACGGGCCCCAACTACGGGTTAGGTCAGGGCCAGCTGAGCCAATGAGCCAGCTGGGCATGGGCATCAACGTGTTGTCATGATTCTTTCTTTCTTTCCAACGCAGCGAGGGGTGAGCTTCGCTATGCGGGCTACATCATGTACAAGAATGTACACGGCTCTTCTAGAGAGCAGGATGGGCAACTGCCACTGCACCCGACCCGAGGGTCCCATAAGCAGTGCAGCTACCGAGGCCACTCAACATCTATGTGTGACTCGAGTGGTGAGAAGTCAAAAAGAGAGAGCACCCTACCCAATCTGTACAAGCACAGGGGTGGAGACCACTAACCTGGCGTTGTGTGTGAAACGCTACTCAGGGGCGGAGTCCGCTTACCCACGCAGCCATCAGGGGCGGTAACCGCTTACCCTGCTGATGAAGTTGGTGGCAGTGAATCAGATGTTATGTTTACGGCGAGGTCAGCACTTGACTGAGGATTGTCTATCTTGGAATATAGGCAAAGATAGACTTGGGTGTGCAGGGTCTTGAGAAGTCTGGTAGTGAGCTTCTGGGCAACTTTGTTATCGTCATGCAAGTAGGCAGTTGCCCCTACATGGAAGGTGACAGCCCTGTAGTGTCCAGATTGAGGGGTATCACCAATGTGAATGATTGCCGCTCTAAGTCGATATCGTAGGGTGCCCCTTTGCAAACCATCACCGTGAAACACAGGAATGGAGAGGGTATCAGCTGGCACAACTGGGGTAGTAGACTTGGCGTAGACTCCACCAACCTCTCGAAACCTGTTGAGTTGCAGCAAGAGCTCACTTGGATCAGCAGCAAGCGCGTGCGGAGCAGCCTGGGACTCCCATGCATCAATTAAGCTCTGTAACGCGCATTCCTGTTGGGTCAGCAGGGGCTCAGGCAGCAGGATAGGCCAAGTGGTACCTCTATCTGTGACCTGAATAGCGCCGTCCACATGCAATCTGGTTTGCCATTCCCCAAGCATGGGGGCAGTGAGCAGCTCATTTGCCAACATGTGCTTGGCAAATTCTGCTACATCATGTTGCATATTTGGCTGTGCCCATGTTCTTAGCGCCTGGGTCCAGGGCATAAGCTGCCACAACTTAGCCGTTTTCTGAGTGACGAGCCAGGACATCAGCCTTTGAAGATCATCACGAAAGAACGTCATGCGCCTGAAGCTTTGTGCATGCAAAAGTGTGAGGACTAGACTGTTAGCATAGCAATGGTTACAGGAGTTTTGAAGTCGGAGTCGCCTCAAAGCTTCTCTGCAAGCTTCTCCAGCGCATTGGCCAACGCTCCGCGTCCCAGTTTGTCGTGCCTCAGGGACGTGCCTGCCAGGTGCCAGATTGCTTGGTGGCAGTACTTGTCCAGCAGAAAGTAGACTTCGTGTGAGGCTTGGTTGCGTAGGCCAATCTCCAGTACGAATGGCACCACTTCCCCCTGCATGTCCGGCGCAAGCTTCCGTTGGGCATGAAAGCGTCCTACCACTCGTGGCTGGAGGATCAGCCTCTGCAGGGTCGCGATGTCCTCGAGTACCGTTTTCGTGGGGATCGATTCGCGATCGTCCTTGTTCTGGTATATCTTCTCCGCATCGTCCCACATCATGTAGTGAAAGTCGCCTGCTGGATTGACCAGTTTGGCCGCTTGTGCTTTGGCATGTAGCGTTGGATCCTGCAGGGATTGCATCCTGGTAGTCACCGCCTCCAGGAGACAGCCCAGGAGGACCACCCGCAAGGGCTGGGTGACCAGAGCTGGGGACTGCTCCTTCTTGGCCTTCCATTCCGATCCGACTCGCATGAGATCGCTGAGTACCGTCAGCTCCGGCGGACTGGTCTTCATGAAGAACACGTAGCTGGTGTCCTGACGGTGGATGGCCAGTGCATCCTCGTGGCGAAGGGACAGGGTCGTGATGAGCTTCACGGCCTCTCTCAGGGGATCGTCCTCGTCGTTGTCCAGCGAAGAAGGTCCGGAGGCCTGTTTGGCCTGCCTCGCGAAGCTCTGGTTGCCTTTCCCCCGATCTCCGCGCTGTCGACCTTTCTGGCGACTGAGGTCCTCCACTCGGTCGCCTTGCCGCTTTTGCCCCACCTCCCCAGGCTTGTTCATCATGGACTTCCACAGGTCCATTTCGGCGGCGCCTCTTGTCAGCTCGTCCATCATCACCTGTGGCCGATTCCGTGGTATGAAGGAGGATTCCCAAGCGATTTTGATGTTGCAGGACGTAGGCTACTCGGATCAGTACTGAGCACCCCACAGCCGCGCGGTTGTGCCGAGTGCCGCAGTGCTGGCAGGGGGAGTTGATACCCTTTCGCGTAAGCAGGAAATGCTGACACTTATCAAGGTGAGCGGCTGCATCCACATGCTGAGCCTTGATATGTTGATGCAACATGGCAGTTTTGGCCATCCAAAGGTTGCAGAAGGGGCAGTAGTGCAATCGCCCAATGGCGCGGATTTTCTGCGCAAGTTGCTTCCAATCATCCGACTGAGCTTCCTGCAGAAAAGCCTCGTCCTGTAGCAGGGGCGCAGGGTCTGGCGGATATGGAGGTAGGGTCGGGGCACATCCTAAGTGAAGTACTGGGCAACACTGCCTATTGTGATGCGCCGCAAACTGCGGCCAGGATGAAAACTCATGTCTGCAGTGTCGACACGTAGGCATACCATCATGTGCATGTTGCATGTGTGAGGCTTTTCGTTCTCGAAAGGCTGCCTCCTTCGCGTGATGTTGCTCTTTAGTCAGCTTGACATGCACGTTGGAGATGTGCCAACGTAACGTGGCCTCATTGGGAAAGGAAAGGCCGCAGACATCACATGGAGCTGGGGGTCTGGCATCCTGATGCCTGAGGGGCACCTTGCTTGTCGTCTGCGTAACAGTCGGATCATTGGTGATTTTACGGAGGTGTTCCCACCATCGTTTGACGACGGGTGGCTGTAGTGGTGCAATAGGCCCTGATTCTACCTTATCTAGCCTTTTGATCAAAATAGCGTCCAAGCCATCCAGGGGGTCAGCCAGGTGAAAGTTTGTCAAGAAGGTCGCATTAGACAGCCCAGTGATGTGAGGAAGGTTATTAGCCAAAGCTCGCCATTGTCGAAGGACAGTACCATAGACTTTCTGTCTACCAGCCATGGTCAGGCCTGTACAGGAGAGCCCATATCGAAGGGTGGCGAGACATATGCATTGATGCAGCTGCAATCGCTTATGCACTGGCAGGGCTTTAGACTTCAGCAAGGCGGATAACCGATTGTAGGCAATCCAGGAATGGCGTAGCCGGTGCTTAAGGGTTTGCCACTCAAAGTTTTTGTACGAAAGTTTGACGCCAAGGTACTCATGGGACATGACAACCGGCAAGAGGTAGCTCTTTCCCGTGAGGTTAGCAGTCCCAATTCGCAGGCATTTGCCGAGAGTGGCATGTTGACACAGCATGGGCTTGAGGCATGCATGTACCTGCGTACCCCAAAGCGAGTAAAGTACCACTGTCTTGCCCGGACTAAGTTGCATACCATGATCTTCTAAGACTGCTACTATTTTTGAAATTTGCGTGGGGACACTTTTCATGTCTGACCAGGTCTCGATCGTCCATTGCGCTAGAAAATCGTCCGCAAAGAAAGTTTTAAGTGCAGAGGGCGCAGCAGTGTCAAGTTTGGATGCAAGATAAAGGGAGTATAGCGTCCAGAGCATGGGCGCTAATCCGCAGCCCTGCCTGATGCCTTGCCCCGCCAGCACAGAGCCCTGCGCTCTGGGAGTTTTAAAAATGTACGTGGCGTTCTCATGTAGGTACAAAATAAGTTGGATAGTCGAGGCAGGTATCCGGAAGTGCTCAAGGCATTGCTGCAGACACCGCCAGGGGATGCTGTCGAAGGCTTTGCGTAGATCAAGTGAGAGCGTGACGCCTCCCGAGACGATTTGGGCAGTTTTGCCCGCCCTCCGCTCACGGGTGGTGACCGTGGCGTTTTGGCGACGTTCTCGGATTTCTCTGCAATGGCCAAAAGCCCTGTCGATAGCGTCACAGGTTTGTCGCCCTTCAAGGTATGCAAATTGTGGAATGCGCGTGGCGGCCTTCGAGACTATGGGCCGAATCTCCTCCGCTACTAGCTTTGCTAGGACTTTGGCCATCGGCGAAAGCAGTGAAATTGGTCTTAGCGAGTCGGCAGAGGTCGCCGGCTTAGACGGTTTTGGGATGAGTGCCACTTGTATTTCGTGCCAGGCCTTGGGCAGAAAAAGTTCCTCCCGGTCACAGGCTGCCACAAGGGTCTGCTGGAACACCTGCGTCGCAAGGTGAGCTGAGGCTCGCCATAGCGGGGCAGGCAGGAAGTGTGAAGGAAGAGCCTTGTTAGGCAACTTGCTGAACGCCAGGAGCACATTGTGTGGATCAAAGACAACGGCCTGATCAACAGGCCTGCCCGATGGTGCATGGTCAGGTTGTTTGTAGACCTGCTTAAAATGTCCCACAATCTGCTGCATTTCTTCTTGCGGCGTGAGGATGTGTCCTTGACTGGTGCGGAGCTGGAGCCTTTTCTGTCTGACCTTTGGTGCATAACGCTTCAGGATCTGATGAACGGCTGTCATGGGACTGCTGCTGTTCCTGGCCTCCATAATGAGCGCATCAAGGTGTTGCTTCTTCCTGAGTCTGCTAAGCTTGCGAAGCTCCTTGGCCTTCCGAGTGCAATGTACAGCCTGCTGCCATGCTCGAAGCAGCATAGACGCTGCTAGTCTGGCTCTGGCCTGTTTACGAACCTGAAGGTCGTGAGTGCCAGCAAAGGTGTCATGATTGGTAGTAAGGGCCTGCTGTAGTGCCCTCAACTCCTGTCGGTGTTGCCAAAGATGAACTACCTCAGGCTGGTCAAGAGTCGTTGCAGGAGCTTCTGAGGGTGATCAAGCGCAGTTGCCCATGCATCCGCCATGATTGTGGTCAGCTCCTGATGTGGTAAGACATGATCCGGTAGGTGCGCTTGGTAGGTGGGAAGGAGTTTAGGGTATTTATTCATGAGCTCCTGTGTGGCTTTAAGTGAGTTGCCCTGTTTCTCGCCGGCTTTGCGAGGTGCCACTGGTAACGGCAGCTGCGCCTTGACTGGGAGATGATACATCCCCGTTTCAGGCAGGAGTGGGAAATTCGTCAAGGTGCCCGCACATAGGGCTTGGGGCGTTGTCTGTCGGCATCTCATCAGGCAGAAGTCAATTTGAGTGCCCAGGCCCTTAAGTGGCTTAATTAAAGGTGACGGAGGGAGACCCTGCTTTGCCCCATGTGTTTAACGCGCACAAACCATGATCCCTTAGAAGGTCCTGCAATCGAAACTGATCTCTGTAGTGATGACCCGCGGGCAGTATTGGGGTTCCTTTGCCAACATGAGTGGTCTCTTTCAGCAAAGGACAGTTCATGTCCCCTACGATGAAAAGAAGATTTCGAGCAGGAACCGAGCGAGCCCATTTAGAGATCCGTTCCCAGATGTCCGACCGGTTTGCTAGCAATCTGGTGATGCGTGCTTGTCTGTCACCGTCTCCACCATCGGGGTTCCAAGCGTGCTGATATACGGCCAGGACATCAAGGGCAGGACGCTTCTGCAGCGAGATCCGAACATGTAGTAATCGACCCGGCTTTAGCTCGTTGTATCTGATGTCGTGAGCCGGACATACAGAGTTGTGAACGAGCACAAGGATCCCCCCTTGTGACTGGCCCGCCCCAGTATGGATGGCCTGCCAGTCTGTGGCAGGGTATTCCATTGTGGTGGGCCAGCGTGTTTCAGTGATGACGACTAGGTCTGGTCGAGTGGATTGATCCTGGATGTGTAGCCAGTGTTTGAGCTCTGCATGCCTGGAAGCATGTAGCCCACCAGCGTTCCAGTACAGAACGCGCAGGCCATGTGCGGCAGTCTCTGCCTGTGGGGAGGGAGACCCTCGGTCTGCGTTATCTGGCTGGTAGTGCGTTCTCAACTGTTTTGCAGTGAAGGTGCGACCCAGATAAGTGGTAACTCCAAATCGGCTGGCTCGCTTCACAGCTCGTTTGTAGGAGCGCTTAGCAGTAGAGCTGTGTATCGGCTCAGATACGGCCACTCGTGCAGGATTAGAGGCATGCGAAGACGTGCCGAGTGCTAGGTATGGATGAAAGCTGGCAAGGATAAGCACACGGAGGAAGCGGGAGAAGCATGACGTGGACATGGAGCACTGATAATGTCTGGGGTGGTGGCCACTGCATCCAGATGCTGCACGTGGGGGCTCAGGCCCCGACAATGTGACAGCCGCTGCTGAGTCCCGCAGGGCTTTGACACGACGGGTTCCTACCACGAGCTTCCAACGTGCCCAAGCATGACTGCGCGTTAGTTTACCCCACAAAGAATAGTCAGCACAGGCTGAGAGGGGCGCGAGTGCAGTCTTTCTGGAGCTCTGGTCCTGTCCCAGCCAATCCGTGGTGAGAGCTGTTTGGATTAGCGTCTCATCTGGCATGGACAGAACCGGGTTTGGAGAGTAGTATTGGGGTCGTAGCAGGAGGGCGCTCAGACAATTGCAAAGCAAGCTGATTTTCATATGGGAATGCGGAGAGTGCACCCTCTGCATCTTATTAGTGACCCGTGTGGTCGTTGCCAGATGAGCATCTACAGAGGACGAGGCTGCTGTTCCAGGCTCGTCCAGAATGGTGACATCGGAGGAGGGCGAGGGCGATGTCTCAGTGGTGCCTGTAGTCTGCCAGCCCTGGATCTTGTTGACAGACCGTCGGACCTGTGGTTCAGCTGGAGGCGGCGGCTGGTAGGTCACATTCTCCTGAGGAATCGCAGTGGTCTCAGCCGGAGAGGTTGGCGAGAGATCAGAGGTCCATGTCGTTCTAACAACGGGGCAAAGACTCGTATCCACTCCCTCAATGTCACTGCTGCTTTGACGGGTATGGGCCAGCGGTGTAGTCTCTTCAATGTGCTCATCCGTGGAGGTGTCGGAGCTGGCGGCGGTCTGCAACGGTGAAACCATGGTGGTGGAGACGAGCGGCATCGGCTCAGCCACCTGCGTCTGCGAAGCTACCTGCTTTGGCCCTGCTTCATCGATTCTGGAGGGCGACGCTTCGGAGGAGGAAGATTGAGTATCGGAGTCAAGGGGTTCTTCTTTCACCTGTCGAGGCAGCTGCTGTAGCAGTAGTCCCTGTGGCCCTGGTTGCTCAAGGTGACGTACCTCATCGTCAGTGAAGTTGTCTGCGCAGGTAGTTGCCGAAGGTGCGTGCCCTGTTGCTTGTGGTGCCAGGGCAACTAGCCGCAAGGGCTGAGTGCCGGTATGGCAAGATGGCTCCCGCGCATCTTCCGTCTCCATGGCTGAGGTCGAGGAGTGGGGCAACTGGTCCAGGCCGACATGGTGCTGACCAGACGCAGTGATAGGAGGTTGAGCAGCGGCCCCTGGGTCAGTGCCTCCTGTTGACTCACCCGATTCGTCGTCAGAGTTGGGAAGCTCTTCCTTGACGGTGTGTAGTGTGCTCCCAGGGGTTACGGAGCCGGTGGCTGCAGAGCCAGTGGAGGTGGAATGCAGCACGGGCATGGCCTGATCCTGGCTGGATCCTGGTGTCGCAAGCTTGCTTTCCGTCTGCTCCTGCTGACCTGCCTCGCGTTCTGGCGAGGTAACACTGCGTATTTTTGCCGGTGGTGGAGGTGGTGGCGGCACCCGGCAAGTCCATTGCTGCCCGTCCCACTGATTTTGCCACTGTCCCGTCCACCATCCTGCTGTCGCCTGTGTTGTAGTGCTCCATCCACCACCCCAGTCTGCATCTCGCTCGTTCCACATCCAGGCCTCTCCCCAGCCGGTGCTAGCCTGAGGTCTATTCCAGGTGGCAGATGTCGTCTTGGCCGAAGGCTGTGCTGCTCCCACTGCACCTTCCGCACCAGCCGTGGGATTGCGAAACCTGGATGGTGGTCTTCTGGAAGACTTGAGCTTGGCCGAGGGCGATGGTCCATTGCGACCCATGTTACTTGACTGGGTGAGTGAAGGGGTCGACTGGTACAGGATAGGAGCGGGAAAAGGTGCACTTAGGGGTGTACAGAGGATCAGTCCATTGGGCGAACCCTGGCTATGTTGAGCCTGCTGTGAGTTACATCGGAGGGAGGCGGTCAACACTCTGCACGCCAAGGTTGTATGTACGCTTATATGGTGCGGAGGTGTGCACCACGTCTGCATGGGTCCTGCAGGACCTGATCGTAGCCAGTTGAGGCGGCCTGAAAGGCAGGGGGCCAGCAGCCTGTGGCTTATGGTCAGCTTCAAGCATCTCAGAGGACACGAGCGACACATAAGGTGTGGGCAGAGTGAACAGATTGTATTCCTTCTGGGAGCGGTAACCGCTTGTCCCTGCGAGGATGAGGACCTGAGGCAAAAAGGCACTCCAGCTGGTGACCCAAAAATGGGAGGACCTAAACACGGTGTGTACAAGTCAGTGCCTGGCAGTAAAGTACACGACAATAGTGAGCCTGTCAAAGTGTATGGGGGGTAGAGTGCATGAATTCGATGAATATGCAGTAAGAGGATGAAATCCTCAGTGGCCTCGGCCTCGGCAGTCCAGACACTGGAGCCAAGGTTTGCAGCCTGACCGTTGTGCTTCGTTCCCATGTGTAGAACAGAAGCTGTAGTCATGTAATGAACTACAGGGGGTTGCTGGTCTGCAGAGCCCCCAACCCTCGGCTCCTGCGCGATCTTGTTATGGTAGATGAAATCGAGTGAAGTGGCATGATGGATGAGCGTGTCACAGCACGACACTCGAGAAATGATCTCGCGCCTCCCGGGTTTGGGACCGGGAACAGCAGTATCCAAAATGTGAGAAGGGCTGCGCTGCAGCATGTAGCATCTGTAACCTCTCAGGGCACGGGGAGTCGGTATGTGAAGCTCGGCATTACAGGCAGAAAGGTACGACTGTGTAGACCAAGGGCGTGACGCGGTACACAGTATGGTGCAGGGGTGGTAGACAATGTAGTCGATGATTCGCTGGAGGGCCTGACAGGAACAAGCCGGCCATCTCCACTGGATATTATCCTTATTGCTTCTTATCCAGGCATCCGTGGGGGTGTCTTTTGCCGTGGTGCGTGGGTGCAGTGCACAGGCGGTGAGAGAGCCTGATACTAGGCAAGAGGCAGGCCGAGCTGATCCATTGAAGATCGAGCTCCGCTTCACACAAAAGTAGGCCATACTACGGCGGAGGAGCCGGTGCTCCAGGGCCATCATTGGCATTGAGATTCGGCTGGAGGCAAATCCAGATGGACTCATTGGTATACATGAGCGTGTAGAACCCTTGCGAATGGACGGTGGACATGTGTGGCGATGGCAGCGCTTGGGCAAGAAGTCCTGAAGGTAGTCGAACGGTGAGGCCTGGTGCTCTCGGAGGTGGTCTTGCCATTGGTGGCCTGCCTGCCGGTCCCATACCATCCGCCGCCGCAGGTCGCGCATGAGACGGGTTGTGTGGAGTGGGTGGCGGCGGTCCTGCCGGTCCTCGCATCGCATTGGCTGGTGGAGGCGGTCCGGCCGGTGCTGAGATGGTCCCAAGAGGCCCTGAAGGTAGGGGTCGAGTTGCAGGCGGTCCGTTCGCGCCTCGTGGGGCCCGGGCAGCAGTACCGGAGGGTGCTCCAGGACGCAGCAGCGATGGTGATCCGGTTGATCTAGTGGAGTCTCGCCAGTCTGGAACACCATGTTGGCCCATTGTCGGCGGAGGAGGTCCTCCAGGGGCAGGACTCCGCGACCTGTCACTGCCAGCCCCGTCTTCTCTGGCTGATCCAGCATCCACTTGCCTGACCAGTCTCCGCTTGGGCCTTGGTCTGGAGGAGCTGGAGGGCTCAGCTGCGCTCTCTCCAGCTTCCCTGTCGGCCGGCCTGTGGCTACCACCAGAGTTGGCCGCCATCGATGCAGTGCCCATGTGGTCTGTAGTGGCTGCATGCACCATGTCTCTCCAGCGGCGAGGGTTCGGCACTCCTGCGATGTCATCAATTGCCTCGGTGTCATCGGAGTTGGGCGAAGGAGGCTCAGCGGGGTCATCGGCTCCATCGCTTGCCATGATGTGAAACGCACCCCGTGGTGGAAGAACCTCCAGGAGCTAGTGATGCACTGGGGTGTAGAGCCCGAATGCACGGTAAAACATGTTGCGAATGCAGGGTTGTGGTCTGACGTGCTGATGGAGGCATCCAAGTCAATATGCAGGCGTGTGTGCCGGCACAAGAACAGTCGCTTGCTCTGGCCTGCTGCATCAGCCCATATCTCAGTCGGTAGGACTGATAGGGAAGGCCATGACGTCACCTCCAACTCAGTAGACATGCGTGTGCGAGGCACTAGCTGTGGCTGTGAGGGAATGGCATTGCAATGCTCTGGGCCGCCGCACCAGGAGGTGAACTGCATTAGTATTCCCTGCTGCCCGTACAGAGCCGATACTGGTATTGTCCGAGGGTGGGTGGCAGTGTAACTGAGCGCCTGATCCTGAGGGTATGCCAAAAGACACAGGCACCTTTCCTGTGATTGCCGTGACAAGAGCTGTACGGATCTAGCCTTTGAGAGCAAACATGATACTGGCAGACCCTGGAAGCACACAGGAAGTCGCAGTATTTTCAGACAAACTGTGACTGGGAGCCAGCAATCGGAGTCAGATGTGGTAGAAGGACTGAAACTTGAAGATGCTGGCATCATGTGGCCCCGTGCTGGCGTCCAAGTGCATCCATCTAGCCTGTATGTCAATGCAGACCCGGGGCACTTATGTGAGCAGGCACGAGAATATCTGAGTGCAGGACCGTGTGGCCCAGTTGACGGGCGGGTCCGCAGGATGTTTTGCAGCTGTGCCATAACCTGGGCCTGTTCAGTCGGACGCAATGAGTCAAGCGCAGCCTCAACTTCATCGGCAACTTGCTCTTGCCACAGTCGTGTCGGGGCGATGCTTGTGGTGGGACTGGAAGCCTCCTGCAAGTGCCGAGCCCTCACATTTCGACTCTCCACTTGAGCTGTGGATATAGTGCACGTGCCATTGCCCTGCTCGGGAAGGTCATTGGTGGAAATCTGCGCCTGCTGAGCCGAACGTCGAACAGTGGAGTCCCGCAAGACCAATGTTAGTCGGATTTTGTGCTCAGGTTCAGACTCAGCAGTGCCACTGGCTGTGGAAGGCTTACTTTCGCGAGCAAGACGTGGGGTCCGCTGGGAGGCCCATGCAAGAAAACACACTCGTGTCCACTGTCGAAGGCAGGCGAACTCCTTCCAGCCTTGGAACACCTGTGCCAGCATGCGTACCTGAGCCCAGGTTAGTGTATTTCGGCTCGTGCGAGAAGGAGAGCAGAAGCTATGGCTCAGCTGCAGACGAAGATCCCGCACAGCGAATACAAGCGTGGAGCCCCGCTGAGCAAAGTTCCAGAGCCGGCTCAAGACAGGCAGTAGTGCTTGGCAATCCACTGTGATAGCTGCACAGTCAGTGTAAGAGTGAGAGAAGGTTACTCCATAGGGGCAGTGTGTGGAGTGCAGAAGCCTCGCTTTATACCAGCAGAGCCAGGAGTGCAGGGCTTCAGACGGTGGTCGGATATCTGGGTAGTCCTGCAGGGTAGGCATGGCCAGAGTGTATGCAGCTGCAATATTCCCTACATATTCCGAATGGGTCCTGCAAGGGAGCGGTGACCGCATATCCCAAAGGTTCGCAGCCTGAGCGCAACAAGCTGGATAGCAGCTGGCATATGCATATAACTGTGGAAGGCGGCAGACATTGTGGGGGCCCTGCCGGTGGTGCGGTGTCCGCATACCCTGGCATATCAAGGATGGATCGTGATGAGGTGAGTGCCAGTGTGCAGGTTGCTCTTGACATGGTCGGTGCAAGGTTGATGCGTATACCCGCCTTGGGTGCGGAGCCCGCAGACCCACTCGTTGCTCTCGTCGGACCTGGGCACAAGGAGTGGCGGACATGGTACAACTTACATGGGTACCCTGAAGAGGCCACCTATTCTGCTGCCGCCCGGTGGGCGGCGGGTCGCCCTGGTGGATTTCCTGCAATTGAGGGGGGCTGCTGCTAATCTGCCAGCGGCATATGTGAATCGTGAGGTTAGACTGGTTGTAGGCCCCACCTCTGGCTCGAAGGTGCAAGGGCAGCGGTAGTCGTCTCTTCTTGACCGTTGGTGGCGTGCTTGGAGCCGGACCGCTACCAGCACCAGTTGAGCCAGTGGAGGCGGCTTCCGGGGGGGTAGTTCCTCCATACACCAGGGCAGTGACTCCTCCATACGGATTCAGAAAGTGCCACTCTCTCCCGTGGTTTCGCATCTCAGCAATCCCGGTCGTGGAATGTCCCCTCCAGTAGGCTGCTCCACTGTACCCAGCTCTTGTAGTTGACGTAGCGTCTCAGGGGACACCGCCTGCACATCATCCTGGGCAGCAAGGTTGGCTGGTGCAATGCCTGTTGTGCTTGTCGCATCGTTGTCCGTGCGAGCTGAGGTTGCCATCACCACTGGCATCGCCGAGGCCCTGAGTGGCGAGCTGATTGCTCGTAACGCCAGCCTCTGATCCAAGCATCGGCACCGTGACCTGTGGAGGAAAAAGAGTAGCCATGTCAGCATCCTGGGAGATCAAGAGCTCCAGTAGTGCTTCATGCCGCATTTGTTCAGCAGTAAGAGCCGCTCTGGTCGGGGCCAAAGCTGTTGGCGGGGAAGCCTTGCTCGTAGGGGCAATGAAGGTGCCAGGCCTCGCTGTGTCTTCATCATTACCAGCTTGCGAGGTTCCAAAAAGCCACCAACACAGCACCAGATTGAGCAGTTTGCAGAACACTCGGCCCATGGCTGGCTGCAGTCTGCCCGAAGCAAAGGGACGAGGACCGGAGGAAACCCCAACCCAAAGGAGGGAGAGAGACCCTCAACTACAGCAGCACAGCTACAGCCCTTTCTACACTTCCTGCTGGGAGCCTTGTTGTCATGATTCACGTGTGTCAAAACACCTGGGATAAAATTACCCAGTGCGTTCAGACAACCCGCACT